CCCAAGGCTTCGTACAGACGTAACCGCGCCCAACGCCTTATCTGGCAAACGCGATACAACCGATTGATGGACATGTCATTATGTAACCATTGCATCAATGAAAAGGACCGGGCCTACGAGAAGGGAGAGGGTCTGCAATGGAGCCCCAACTGCGACGGGACCTGCCTATGAGTGGCTTACATTTTAAGGGACATGACGCACAAGATACATGCTAAACTCGACTATGCGGATGAAAAAGTAGAATGTATGTGGGTCTTTAAAGAGGATGACCATTAACTCTCTTTTTTGTTTTTTATTACAGACAATGTTGACTGTTTTCACTGGAGCGCCTAAAGGAACCAACGCCATCGTGCAACACTTGTGTGCCTAACATAATCACCACTGTGTGGTTAAAATACCGCCTTGCTCTAGTTGGGCCACCAAAATCGCGCCGCTTCAATGGCCCGAATTGGAGAAAGCCACCCAGGATGTCAATGCGGTCGCTTTACGAAGCTACAAAGTCCTTTTCTCCCCCATCCTTATAAGTCAAGTCAAAGCTCATTGGCATATCGTTTACCAGGCCTCGATGGTCCTGGTGCTGGGCTACAGAGATCACATGCTTAAAACAATTAATCCCTCGGTGACTCGTGGTCTGTGCGATTGGACAGTAGAGCTCGCTAATTTCATGAATAAACCGCTCTATTTTTATGATTTAATGTACGAGGAATGGTTATGGGGGAGTCCCCTCAATCGAGAATTTGTACAAGTAGAAGGCATGCATGAATTAAATGTGTCACCCCCCTCTTTACAAAACAACGTGACCATTGTGGGAACGAGCGAACTGACCACCGAAGTGCAAATAGCACTGGAAAACTTGTTTGTAATTTTTTTGTTTGGACGGATTTCGTTTAAAAAATGACTTTGTAGTACGAGAATTGGGATGGTGTGACAAGTCTGGCAAGCGGATGGGATTTATTCATTATTCACACGATTATGTCTGGTCTAGTCTGAGCCAGCAAGAACGGAGAACCGTGAAGTATGTGCGTGACATGGTGACCGGGTTAACCTTTAAGCCGAGACCCGTGGAGTTTCAAAGGGGACGCTTTGGTCTGCAAAAAAAAAACGTGACCCCGGACATCTTTTTCTTTGTGGGAACAATTCAAGACTCCGACTCAATGCATAGTCGCCTACAAAGGAGGAACTTTAGAAAAGACTTTTTTAACTCATTAAAAATTCCGTTTGTTAATTTAGAAGAGTATGGTTGTCCGAAATTAGATTATTTGCCAGACACCTATTATCCACTTGTTAATTGCGGCTGTCATTTTAATTTAAGCTTTCACTGTAGTATGGCCGAGTGTAATGCATTTATGCGTTGGTTCAATAAAAACGCACAGTAAATGATTTTAAAATTGTTTTATTCACTGTTTTCTAGTTCTTCCTTGATCCACAAATACTTTACTTCCTTTGGGTACAAGTACTAAAGGGCTTCTCTTTTTGCCACGTGCGGCCAGCGAGCCATAACGATCTTCACATGGTCTGCATTTAAGTCGCTTTCTTGCCCGATTACTTGTTGTGCGATTTTTTTGGCGTGATACCTGGCTCTCGTCTTCGCATTGAATGTCTCTCTATTTTCCTGCCTCCATTTTTTGGTCTTTTCTTTTGTCTTGGCTCTGTTTTTTTCTTGGTACCGGTACCTCCGCCAGCTCTCTTGACGTTTCTCTTTGTTTTCCAGACACCATTTCTTGTTCAGCATGGTCTTCCTTTCTTTATTTTCCGGTTTGGCATACCATTTTCTTTGGCTTTCCTTTCTTTTTTCTTTCTGCTCTTGGCTCAGGTTCTTCCACAATTTACGGCTCAGTACGGGCATGATGAACTAATGTCGTTGTGCAATAAACATAATCACCACTGTGTGGTTAAAATACCGCCTTGCTCTAGTTGGGCCACCAAAATCGCGCCGCTTCAATGGTCCGAATTGGAGAAAGCCACCCAGGATGTCAATGCGGTCGCTTTACGAAGCTACAGAGTCCTTTTCTCCCCCATCCTTATAAGTCAAGTCAAAGCTCATTGGCACATCGTTTACCAGGCCTCGATGGTCCTGGTGCTGGGCTACAGAGATCACATGCTTAAAACAATTAATCCTTCGGTGGTTCGTGGTCTGTGCGATTGGACAGTAGAGCTCGCTAATTTCATGAATAAACCGCTCTATTTTTATGATTTAATGTACGAGGAATGGTTATGGGGGAGTCCCCTCAATCGAGAATTTGTACAAGTAGAAGGCATGCACGAATTAAATGTGTCGAAAGCGAACTGACCACCGAAGTGCAAATAGCACTGGAAAACTTGTTCGAGTCTAAAACATTGTAATTTTTTGTTTGGACGGATTTCGTTTAAAAAATGACTTTGTAGTACGAGAATTGGGATGGTGTGACAAGTCTGGCAAGCGGATGGGATTTATTCATTATTCACACGATTATGTCTGGTCTAGTCTGAGCCAGCAAGAACGGAGAACCGTGAAGTATGTGCGTGACATGGTGACCGGGTTAACCTTTAAGCCGAGACCCGTGGAGTTTCAAAGGGGACGCTTTGGTCTGCAAAAAAAAAACGTGACCCCAGACATCTTTTCTTTGTGGGAACAATTCAAGACTCCGACTCAATGCATAGTCGCCTACAAAGGAGGAACTTTAGAAAAGACTTTTTTAACTCATTAAAAATTCCGTTTGTTAATTTAGAAGAGTATGGTTGTCCGAAATTAGATTATTTGCCAGACACCTATTATCCACTTGTTAATTGCGGCTGTCATTTTAATTTAAGCTTTCACTGTAGTATGGCCGAGTGTAATGCATTTATGCGTTGGTTCAATAAAAATGCACAGTAAATGATTTTAAAATTGTTTTATTCACTGTTTTCTAGTTCTTCCTTGATCCACAAATACTTTACTTCCTTTGGGTACAAGTACTAAAGGGCTTCTCTTTTTGCCACGTGCGGCCAGCGAGCCATAACGATCTTCACGCGGTCTGCATTTAAGTCGCTTTCTTGCCCGATTACTTGTTGTGCGATTTTTTTGGTGTGATACCTGGCTCTTGTCTTCGCATTGAATGTCTCTCTATTTTCCTGCCTCCATTTTTTGGTCTTTTCTTTTGTCTTGGCTGTGTTTTTTTCTTGGTACCGGTACCTCCGCCAGCTCTCTTGACGTTTCTCTTTGTTTTCCAGACACCATTTCTTGTTCAGCATGGTCTTCCTTTCTTTATTTTCCGGTTTGGCATACCATTTTCTTTGGCTTTCCTTTCTTTTTTCTTTCTGCTCTTGGCTCAGGTTCTTCCACAATTTACGGCTCAGTACGGGCATGATGAACTAATGTCGTTGTGCAATAAACATAATCACCACTGTGTGGTTAAAATACCGCCTTGCTCTAGTTGGGCCACCAAAATCGCGCCGCTTCAATGGTCCGAATTGGAGAAAGCCACCCAGGATGTCAATGCGGTCGCTTTACGAAGCTACAGAGTCCTTTTCTCCCCCATCCTTATAAGTCAAGTCAAAGCTCATTGGCATATCATTTACCAGGCCTCGATGGTCCTGGTGCTGGGCTACAGAGATCACATGCTTAAAACAATTAATCCTTCGGTGGTTCGTGGTCTGTGCGATTGGACAGTAGAGCTCGCTAATTTCATGAAGAAACCGCTCTATTTTTATGATTTAATGTACGAGGAATGTTCGAGTCTAAAACATTGTAATTTTTTTGTTTGGACGGATTTCGTTTAAAAAATGACTTTGTAGTACGAGAATTGGGATGGTGTGACAAGTCTGGCAAGCGGATGGGATTTATTCATTATTCACACGATTATGTCTGGTCTAGTCTGAGCCAGCAAGAACGGAGAACCGTGAAGTATTTTCGTGACATGGTGACCGGGTTAACCTTTAAGCCGAGACCCGTGTCGTTGTGCAATAATTTTTTTGGGTCACGCGTTTTGACTAGAAATGATGGTGCAATACAAAAAATGGTTTTTCCAGACTTGTTTCATTCTGATGGTGCAATACTTGACCCTACAAAAAAGGGAGCGATAGGCTCATTTTTATCATTCGAAGCCATGGATCTTCAAGTACCTTCCCTTGCCGTTCTATCCGCTGAAAATGCCACTCTAAACGATCAACTACAATGGCTGTACGATTTTCCCTTTGCTGCCCTAATCAGAAGGCCTATTTTTCAGACCGCGTTGAATAACATCCTCAAGTCGCTGACCCCAAATCAGCTTTTAGAGTACATGCCACCAACCGCCACTACAATCCAGCTATGACAGACAGAATTGTAAAAGAGATGTTTCGACGATTTTCTTTGGACACCTTGGAACTAATCTCCAGGAGTGTCCATGTAGATCACCCGTTTGCCAAAGCCATGGATTTTGCGATACATAAGGAACGAATGTCAGGTACGATAACTTTACTCAACCGATGGAGTATTCGTTTGTTTCCTCCCCCTTGTTCTAAGTGGGTGATTCGTTTGGATTGTAAACAATGTGACATAAGTATTGAGTACAGACTATTCAGCACCTTGTAAATACCTGGGCTGTCATTGGTGCGATGGCTATTTAACCGTAGGATGTAAAATGCTCTTTAAGGTAGTTGCACTGGCTAATTTTTGTGTCTCAGATCATCGTCATTTTTGGCCTATTTAAAGTATATGTCACCTAATATTCAAAAAGTATTGTTTTGTTTCTGTACCATGGAAGGAAATTATTCTACAATTGAGCAAAGTTTGACGTTTTTACCGGAAGTTGGCTTCATGGACCGAGAAAGGGTCTGGGTCGGTCGCTAACGAGAAAAACTGAGTATGCAATATTCTTGGCAGCGGTTTTCCGCCCCAGCTCCACGTGAAGAAAAACATGGCGGCTAGCTCGATCGTCGAGGCATCGAAGGAGGCGGCTTTTGCGGCTTTTGAAGCTGAATTTTCACGCAACGGGTAGGTTTTAAGATCTTTTTCATATTTTTAATCGATGCCAGTCTTTAATTGAGAGAAATATCGCATTTTTAACAGATTCCAAGTTCCCGAAGGACTAATTCGTCTTCTGCGGAACTACAAGCAAAAACCTCACGAGAATCCTGATAGTTGCCGTCATAGGTTGTACAGATACTTGTGGTCACTTCTATGGGTAAGCATGCGGTTCTTTGCACTCTTCTTGTACAAAAATGCTCCATCCTGTTTGTGTGTTTAATTCTTCGTATCAAGTTGATGAAATATTTTTGCAATGATGATGGAGGTGACGAGATATTTTCTGGGAGGTCAATACTTTCATTGTCTTTGAAATCGAAAGAAAATTGAGACCTCGAAAACAGTGAAAATTGTCTACTTGTTTTAAAACGGGTTTTGAAAGACCATGATCGAGTCTTGAAAGACATTTCAATCAAGATGTATCCACAAAATGGAAGTATGTTGTGGCATAATTGTTTCAAGGTTTCTCCTTCCTACATGTAGTACCCTTGAATGGTAGGTCTTGTCTTTCTGACTTGCATTATATTACAGAAGGGTTTATTGTCTAAAGTAGGTATTTTGAAAATGTGAGTTGTAATAAAAACTGGACTAACAGTATTGGTTTTATTTCCTTTTTTGTAGTTTGGAAGTGGAAAGACACTAGGCGCCTCTGTGGGCAGATAGCCCACGTATGTTTTCCCTGTCAGCCTGAAGCGGGTGGTCAGGGGAATTTTTGCCAGTGATGTTGTAGATCAACCGGATCCCACCCATGACGGGGTACATTGTTTTCGTTTGCTGAACCCTAAATGTCTTTAGATTGAGACATTGTGCAGTTCCAGAAAATATCCATGCCACCCTAACAAAGGTTTTTTTGTGTGTGTTTGAACCCCCCTTCTGGAAATTCCAATTTAGCTTCATACTTTTCTAAAATTTGGCTTTAGAGACCCCTTTCCTCCTCAGAATTTCCAATCACCCTCTCTGGGGAGAATACAGATATTTTTTGAACCCACATATTTACATAGTAATTACTTTTTGTCTTTTTCAGGTTTACAAGGTAAACATTGGAGACCTTGCTGAAGCAAAATGGCCTGCAGCGAGGAAATCAAAGAAATCAAACAAATAAGCATGGAAAATTATTTTATTTAGAAATAAATGGTGATTATTTATGAACAATTTTTTTTACCAGTAATTCAAAGACATTTACAATGAACAAGGAACAGACAAGAAAAATGCTATAATACATATCTTGTAATTTATCAGATCTTATCAAATCGAACATATCAATTATTTTCAAAGCCGTACAATAATATTTAGAGCAAACAAAGCAGTGATACAAAAATTATTTTTGAAATATATACAAGCAAATAAATTTGATTTCCAATATCCAATTACTGTCTGTCACACTTGTTACTATGGGCATTGTTTGAAGTCATTACAATGAAGACTTTCTGAAAGTGCTTTCTACCAAATCCTGTTGTTTCACCTAACTTGATAAAATGTGCTCTATTCAATCAGAAGCATCATTGAACCACAAAACAGAAACCCATTACAGCTTACATTTTTATCTCTCGCATCTAATTGGTCTTCTTTTCCAAACACAATAATCCCAACAAAATAAACATCCCAAAATACTTCTGGTGTTCACGGCTTTTATAGTTTCACTGTAATATGGATGGTTGCATCATGTCACACTATTCTACTGGACTACCATAACCGCCATCCAAAGCTGGAACAATGTGGACAATAGCAGGAACACGGCGTCTAATTTGAACACCAATGTATGTGGCTTACAGGGAAGTTAAAAACGAACTCGATTTGCAATTGTAGTACTAGCTTGACAGGTGCAAACACCCTTGCCTATGTACACTCGTGTCAGGGCAAGGCAGCAAAACTATTGACATTACTACAATACAAACAGTGCTCTTTGAGTTCTTACTAGAAGAAACAGAATGTTTTAAAAATGTCCTTACTTATTGTTCTTCTTGTTGAGCGGACAAGAGTGACTTGAGGTGCGTAGGTGACTTGTAGATCCGCATTTGCATTTCCTGCCGCTCACTATTTGGGTGTCCTCCCCACCTAACAATTGCTCTGCTTCTTGTACCAAATTGGAGTCTTCTGTGCCTTCCTCCTCACCCTCTACACCATAGGTGTGAATAACAGCCTGTCGCTTCACCCATTTCTTGCGTTCTTCCTGGTCTTCTGCTCGAGCAACTTTCTGAGAAATCCTCTGCTGTTTATACTCCTTAGTTTTCTTCTTTGCCAGGTCCTTCATTCTCTCTTGCGTGGCTTTCTGAAAGGCTCGAACAACCTTGGGTATTATTGGAAGTTTCAATCGCTCGTACAAATCAACAACCCAATGGTAGTCTTTTCCTCGCTTTTCAAAGCACCAAGACATGTTTCCCTGTGCCAGACCACAGTTAGTGCAGGCTATGTAATGCAACCTGAAATAAAATAAACACAATGTATTCACTTTACACACAGTGAACTCCAACGAGAAATGAAATGGTAAATATTGTATAAATTACACTGGTAATGTTGTGTCAACCTGACATTATGATAAGGCTAAGCAAGGCCCCTTACAACACCCTGACCATTGGAATGATATTTATTTACAAGGTAAGGGATTATGTGCAAAATAGCAAGATTGGAACCTAAATACATTAGACTAGTTGCCCACTAATGTAGACCTGTTTTTTTCTTTCCCAAGTACCAGGAACTGTAAATGCCATAGATTTACATTACACTCAATAAACATCTGCAGGAATGAATAATTTATTTTGAAAGTGCACAAATTTGCTGACCAGAATTGAAAAACAATACTGGCAGATTTATTGACATTAGGCATCATGATAATTATGAGCTTTTTTACTTTGAAATGAAGTTTTGTGATAGACATGGTAAAATGGCAGGTGAAAATCCAAACTGAACAGCAACATTGCATGTAGATATACTGCATAGTGACATTGGGCAGCCCTTTGATATTTATGTTACTTTAAATACCTGCACAAGCTTTGGCTCTTTGCTCTGAAATGTGGAAGGACAGCAAAATGCGCTTCACACAAGTTTGACTGCCCCCTTCCCATTTCTGGATGGATCACAGCTTCCGCATCCTTAGCTCGTAGCTCGCATTCAGTGCGATAGGCCAAATGATGGAATGCACACTTGAGCACTGATTTTGTGGCATAAGCTTTTCCCTCACAAGATAGCTCCTCGTCGTCGTCACTGCATTTACCACAAGAGCACACTGTCAGTGGGTGAAAGTCACATTCACCATCATTCCATTTATGTTCATTTTTGGAGTGGTGATCTGCTAAGGCCCTCATACGTTTTGCATAATCTTCTGGATTTTTGCACTGTTGCAAGCAGCAAAAGTGGTTGATGCGAGCATTGTTGATGAATGTATCCGACAGACACCCGCAGGACTTGCTGTGACGCTTGCACTGGCATTGAGCTGATTCAACATCAGGAAACGTTGTCTTCAATCTTGAGATTTGTGTGGCTGAGAATACCTTTTGTTTTGAAAGTTCCTTGAGATTGTTTGCATGTGCCCTTCCAACATGGCCCCCACACTTGAATACTCTTCTGGGCTCTTCACCGAAAACCTTTTCTACAGACTTCTGCGAACTTGAGTCCCCATCTTGCCAAACTACAACTATATTGCAACCCTCATCTTTCGCCTGTTGATAGCATTCATCAGCCAGAACACCTTCCATCGATTTAGCCGTTCCCATATACAGTTCATCGTCATCTGAAGCCCCTTTCATGCACTTGTGCCCGAACCAAAGAAGACCTCCAGTCAGGTAGTTCTTGATAATAAAGGAGCCATTTTTACTAAAATGGCCCCTAGTGTGCCATACCCCATCTGATGTTACAACACCACGCTTCCAACTTCCAAGCACTCCATCATCCAAAGCTTTCATGTTGTTCTTTGCTTCCTCACACATTTCACTTAGAATGTTGTGAATATGAGGAAAGATGAGTTTTACGACCTCATAATATCGATTCTTAGATATCCCCTGGATACCAAGACACTGGTTCAAAGTCTTGTTAAACTTTGAAAAGCCATGCCCAGAAACAATAAATGCTACAGCAAGTGCCAGGCCTACCACAGTTCGCCTTGAGGCTTCCACCATTGACGATCCTTGGAAATTAACACTCCGCAACTGGCAACCACTGCAGGCAAATGTTATGTTAATAGTTCCTCCAAGGCCCACTGTTTCCACTTTAGAAGGGACCAACAAACCTGGAAAATCATACATACTATTATATGTAACAGGGTGTGGAAATTATGAAAGGCTTCTACCTGCACTTTGACTGAATGTACCTAATAATTTTTAAATAATAGGCCAGAGGAGGGAAGGTTGACTGTGGTGGCGATTTAACTTCTTTTTTTTTGGAACACAAGGCCAAATCCCACCATGTTGGGAATATATATCTTCCTTTATGACATATTGGTCTAATTTTGACAAAAACAAACTGTACAAGGGTGGCAAATTCTTTGGGTGTGGAAAACAACAACCAAAATTATTTTTGCAATACATGTAATTTATATAGATTATAGCTTAGTTGCAGGTAGTTTCAATTACATGATGGTGAATGGCAAATTATAAAATGGAATTACAAGAATAATGTGTCAAAGGTTCTTTAAGCACAATAACATAGAAAGCTAGCTCAAAATAATGGAGACTAAAAGCACAAAAATCTCTTAATTTTGATCCTATGTTAATTTTGAACAGGTGTGATAATTGGGCAATATGTTATTATAAAAATAGTTTAGAGAAGCCAAACACATTAAAAACACATTGAAAACAACTTTTAGAAACGAAAAAACATACCATCACATTCCTCCGTAGAACATCGAGAACTCTTGTTGATGTCTTCGACAAACTTGCAGATCTGTGTCGATTCGCAGACACACAAACGCTGTTCCACTTCATGATGAGAATTTTTGAGGACCTTTGAGGTGGATGGCAGTTTCTCTTCGTTATCACTTTCTGTAGCATGATAACCATCGCTTTCGCTGCTTTCATCTTGGAAACATAAACGCATTCCTCTTTCACGGAGTACTTTCTCCACCTCCGGCGCAGAGCGGTATTTTGTCTTCCCAGGTGAATAGTAGTCCACGATCGCTCTGGTCTCACCTTCCCTTGTTTCACTTTCCCATTGAGCGGGCAGGGTGAATTCTTGTCGAGATTGTACTCCCCTTCCTCTTGCGGATGCACTTTTCTGTCCCTTTTCCGACATCATTTTTTTCTTTTCTCTTTTAGGTAGCTTTTTTTTCTTTGGACATGGTTCCGAAGGAAGCGACGCCATGATTGTTTACTGACTTGAGAACGGCAGTGCGCGTAAAGAAACTGGTAACGAGTAAAACGGAAGTAAAATGTACATCCGGCCCCCGCTGGTTGGCCCATGCCTAGCAACACCCAAACAAAGCCCAAACAAAGCCCAAACAAAGCCAGTTTTGTAGACTGCCATTCTTTTTTACCAGCGGTTTTCTTTCAAGATGGCAGCGAAGGGAAGTGAAAAGCGATTTACCGCGCAAATTGCCATTTTCACGGAAATTTAGCAAAGAAAATAACATTTTTAGGCGCAATAACTAGACAGGTGCACTTATTTTCACATTTTATTTTGATTCTATTTACTCATTTCGTATGAAACTTGGCAGATTGTTAGTTTGAATGATTACGATCGTTTCTGTGTTTGGTCCACCTCAGACAATTGCTAGATAAATTATTTCGATTTTTTTTCCTGCGCAAAATAAGATTTCCCATAACTTGTGAAGAATATGTTCATTTCAGTGGAGCAAACACATAAAGAACCATCTGAGGCTATTATTCAAATAACCGATTTGAAATGAAGACAATCGTCTTTGTGAACGATGTATTTTACAATTTTCTCAATTCGAATGCACTGCAGGGGTGCCATCTTAATTGGATTAGAGTGTGTAATATGATACTTTAGATATCCAAAAAAAAACCTTACCCCTTTTCCTGTATATTGATTTGAGTGAGAAGTATGTTCACTGTTTCTATGAATTTTAACAATTTTTTACTTTCGTATAGAGTTTTTGCCAAATTACCCGGGGCACCTACCTTAAACCATTAAATGAAGGAAGTATAATGCTGGACCCTTACTGGGACTAAGACTTGAGGTTTTTTTTTCCAGGTACAATCGCTTTACTCAATACCTGGGTTATTCATACTTTTCCTCCTGTTTATCCCATACGAATGCTTCATTTAAGATGTAGACGATGTAACATTACCATTACGCACAGACTATCCAGTCTGCGTGAATACGGAACCTGTTTTTGGTGCAACCGTAAATTTGCGTTCAATACCGCTTTCATAAACGATTCATTGCTCCTTACCACTGGTACAAGGTTAAAAACAGCATTGACACTATTCGCTTACGCTGTTGTATCTGTTAAGCACATGTGCGATCTATTTTCGACAGGGAAACTCCCTACAAGGGATGCGAGATGTTAATAAACTTGGGTGTGGAACTTTAATTTTGCAGTACCCATGAAAGTCTTTGTGAAAAGAAAGGAACCTGTTCAACCCAGAAGACCAGACTGTTTTGTGTTTTACGCTCCTCACGTTACTTTTATTACGGACTCTTTTGTAGATACCTTTCATATCATTGAATGTTTTATTGGAGAAAAGGACAACAGAAGGGTGTTCACTTATTTTTAATTTTGCAGACTCCCACCTTGTTTTAGCTCACAATATAATCGATTATAGCCGCAGTGATGGCACATTATGGTTAAAATGTCAAGACTGTCAAATCCACGTGAGACCCGTTAAATTTGTCTGTCAACTCTGTGGGGGATGTGACATTTATTGCTTTGAAGACTTTGTGGATTTTGTATTAGAGGATTAAAAAATTACTTTTTTCTTTTTTCTAGACACCTACCATATTGTATTGCATTACTTTTTATTTTATTCTTGTCCGATCAAAGGAAAAATAGCTTTTGTCAATCCACGCAACTGGTGTATATTTTATTAAGAGACCATTTTTTTCTTTTAGAATCCATTCACGTGTTAACGCATTATACTGTATTTAGAAGTTGGCCGTGTGATGACGATTTTCCCCCGTATAAAGGAAAACTTTCTATTGTAACGCACTGGATGCTACTACTAATCTTGATGTCCTGCAATAAGTTTCAACTCAACGATTACCAAGTGTTGGCGAACGTGTCGTAGCTGCAGAAGACAATGTTTAGTAGGATGTAGCGCAAGACTGATTGGTGTTGTGGTACCGACTATTTAATGTCATGTTGTATGGTACATGAATTAGTATGATGAAGTATCTAGTACGTATTAGTGTGTCCTGCAGTACAACATGTTTGACAAATCACTTGCGTGTAGTATAGTTCATAGTTCACTCCGGGCTAGTCAAAGTACGTGTGGCGGCCTGTAGGCTGTGCTCGTTTCCCTCGTGCTCCTCTTCCTCGGCCTCGCGTCGTTCCCCTGGTGGTTGCTCTGGTTGCTCGGGGACGAGCTGTGGTGGCTTTTCTCTTGGCTGCTGGTGCAGAGTTACCCGCCGATGTGCTGCTCTCCGCAATGCTGGCCCAAATGTTAGTCGTGCAGGATGGTCTTTTTCTCGCGGCTGGTGTTTTCCCTTTGTGGGTGCGCAACAGAGTGCCCGGCTCCTGATATGGGTCCGGGTCTTGCTGCGTTATGAACAGGGCGTGTTCCGCCGATGATTCTTGTGTGTTAAACGGCTCCTCCTCCTCGTTGTATTGCTCCTCGTCCTCGTCCAGTATGTTGGGGCGTGGTCGTCTGCGGGGTGGAGGAGCAATTTGTTCGTCTTGGTCATCGTCCTCATAGGGACACTTTGCTTCGTCGTCTTCGAAGTTTTCTTCTACAGCAACCGAAAAGGTAGCAGTTTGGCGCGCTTGCCTAGTAGAACTTCTTTGGGTGAGCGCATCCCAGATACTGCCGCCCTGTTCCTCTTCGGGACTATTTCCGTGTGACTCAGTGTCTGTGAGGCTATATATGCAACCATGGACTCCCGAGATGGGTTCTGTTTGAAAGACTGTACTTCCGGCAATTCCCGGTGCCTCTTACTGTATTCAGCCGGGTGGCTGAATAATGTTTCTAGAGTCATCATGTGTGTTTCTATTGAGAACATTGTGCCGGATGCCGCAAACAGGTGCTGGCAGAGACTTTTCAGGGTGTCATCCTCAATAAATTTCATTAAATCGGCCAGATCGCGTTCATCCGGTTCTTCCGCTGTCGCAGAATCTTTTTTGTTGAATCTCTGTAGCACTGTCCTGATGGGTCTGGCTTTGTTCAGCAGAGGGTCCACGGCGTGTCTGGTAAACACCTTGTCTTTATATTTGGCGAGTGTTGCATATTTGGCGAGTGTCGCTAATGGCATAATTCAGCCTTGTCAACCACTCGCAGTTCCAATGGAACAGCTTATCCAAAATCTCGCGGGATGTTAGGAGGCCATGCGTTTTGCCGTATGGGGTTAGAAAATGTTTGGTTTGGTGTTTGAAATAGTTGACGCCGGTTTTGGTCTCCGGCGTCCACAGGTTTTGATTGCGTCTTGACATAGCTGCAAAGAAATAATTGCGCGTGAGATTGTACATTGACGCGTCAGCAGTTACCGTTCACAGCGTATGTGTATCTCTGCTCAGCTGCTATGTGAAAACGGGTTGGAGTCAATAGCGCCACGGAAGTCGGGGAAACGGGTGAGTGCAGACTGACTATGAACAACAAGGGTGGCATGTGTAACATACAGCAGCCTCGTGTAAGACATGCTATGGACAAGTGCTTCGTTGAGGCGCGAAGACTAGGTGTTTAAGTTAAAGTGCATATGAACCGAAAATTATTTTTAGTCAGTTAAAATCTTTATCATTTAAAATTCTCGATTCCAAAGTTTGAGATGTTTTGAGTAAAAACTGCCGATTTTATAAGCGATTGAAGTTGACCTATTTTGCATCAAAAAATGGTCAAAGGATTACAAGAGACTGGGTCGAGTGACGTCATTTTGGTTGCACCGCGAGTGTTTGTTTACAAGATACTATAAACTATAAAGAGCTTAGTCGAGAGATGTCAAGTGATTCGGAAATAAGCAGCGTTGAACAAAGCGACTCAGAAGAAACATATCCAGAAGAGGAAATAGAAAATGATGATGTAGATGTAGAGGTTGTTCTTAGTCTCGTTCAACCTTATGAAGACGAACCTCTTGCAGACGCTTCCGCCGAACCACATATGGAAGAAGAGAACGAAGATGCCGATGCGGATGGCCTTACACCAACTGTTTTAGAGGCCAGATATGAAAGAACGGTTCCAGTTACGTCCTGGTTTGTATAGCCATTTCAAAATAATTTGTATTGCATTTTCCTTTCCTGTCAATTTATATTTGGGAGAAGCTTGTCTTTTATGTTTACGTTATTTCCCCTGCCTTCTCAGGTGCCAATGTGAGCTATGCAACGACATGAATTTAGTTGGGGCGCTGGAGTTTCGTTGTTGTAGAGAGGTGGTCCATTCATCGGGGAAGCTTGTCTTCGATGGATCCATCGAACGCATCAGCTGTATAACACAGCATGAAGACTACGCAGCTCTAAGCAACAGGACGGTTCTGCTTCAAGTGGCTCCATTGTTGAGAAACAAAGATGGCCGAAGCTACCGCCGACGATCTGGAGTTCCAGAGAACGAGTGAGAAATAATTTTAATTCCAGATATATTATTATTCTCTCCCGTGCAAGCTTTATTATTTTTGCAGACTAGAAATTTTTGCTGAAATGTTTGCGCTGTTTGGGTAGTAGTTAGAAGGACAACAAGGGCAAGAGTTCTATTGTTTAGACTTTGCCACGGTTTTGAAAGCCATCTTGACGGGTAAGAAATTACAGCGTTTGTATGAGAATCCAATGTCCAATAATTTTCGTTAAATGGCCGTTTTCAAAAATGTATGAATTGCGAATCTAAGTTACAAGGTAATGGACTTTTGCAACAAAATTTAATGGCCTGATCTGGGCTAGAACCGCTTTCGCCGACCAAAATTTCCCGGGAAAAATTACAAACAACTCGGGAAAATTCAGGCGCGCAGGCACGGCTCCGAAAATTTGTCAGTAGAATACTGTACTGCGTAGCTTGAGTGTTTTATTGTTATTTTCTTTTTTGAAAACGGTTGTTTTACAAAAATTATTCGACACTGAATGCTCATGCACACGCTGTGACTTTGACGCTGTGACTCTCGCGTTTGCCAACTCGTCACGATGCTTTCCAAAACACGGTCCGTGACAAGATCTATAGATACGACAGATCACTTCCTTGCTTAGCCGTGTTCGTTTTTTTTCCAGATTCATTCGTGCAGTGGCTTATAGATGGATGATACGCTGGCTTTGTGGGTATATGGGCTGGGAAAACACAAGGCCCCTTCCAGCCTGTATTTATCATGACATCAGGTCTCGTTACCAGACTTTGCAATCAAGAGGATACAGAAACGCACTGCCAGAATAGTTTTATTTGGCATAGTATATCATCAATGTTATCAAGTGTACAATAATAATCAGCCATGTTGATTAAACGAAACATGATTTTGCTTACTTTGTTTATGTTATTTTCATTGGCAAGGGAATCATCATAAAGGGGGTAACCCCCATAATGCAACTACTGTTTTTTGGGCTCATATTTTTCATTTTTTTGTTTCCTTCAAGTTACAAGTAACACTCTACTATTGATTTTTGATTGAAATGGTTTTCTCATGCAGTTTACTAAAAAAGCACCCATACAGTGTGGATTTCAAAGGAGTTAATTGTAGAAGATTTCTTTTTCAACATTATTAATTTTTATTCAGGACATTTTCTTCTGGTGTGGCCTGGTCTTTTACATTTTGAGCACTTTCTTACTGCCCTAGAGCCACTGGCAGGCTGTTGAAAACTGCAGCTTGCTTGTTGCAGGACTTCTTGCTCTGCCCCTGAAGAAACAAAAATACTTCGTCAAGCAAATTTTATTTCAAGGTTTGTGAACTATAAATTAATGATGTGCCACTTTCTTGTATTGACAGAGTCTTGCTTTTACCCTTATTTTGCCTGTACATGTGCAAATACTTTATCTTCCCCTCCTCAGAATAACTTTATAGGTATTTAGTCAATAATTGAAATGTAACATACTTGCTGGGAAAAGTTGAGTGCTGATTCTTTGTCCTTGTTTCTCTTCATGTGTTTTTACTGCTGTTTCCTTGTCAACACGACCACTGAATTGAGCAGTGAGGGGTTCTGGAGTCCGGGTAGAATATCTGTCAAAAACCTCTTTCATCTCTTGTTTAGACAAATTAAACAGCAGCTTTTTTATATCTTCAGCATACCCTATAAAAAACAAAATTGCCAAATATTTACTTTGAATATTCTGTGCTGATTAAATGTGCATAATCATAAAATCATATTTACATCCCTATGAGTTTATCAATATTGTAGCCACTGCAAAGTAGTTTGCCATGAAATAATGTACATGCAAAGGTTGTGGATAACACTGCAGTCTGGAAAGCAAGTTTTATTCACTTGACATCCTTTCTTATCCTTTTTTATTTTTTATAAAATATTAGAACTATTCTAAAAAGGATAAAAAGTAAAAATTATTAGTATAACAATGATTCACTCTACAGTCAACTTACCATATGTTGGGGGTGTAGCTACTTCTCGAACAACCTCCTCACCTAGTTTGAATTTTGGGTATGTGATTCGGAAATACTTTTTACCATCCCTGGTTACCTGGGTATCCCTATGAAGATTCTCATTGAAGTGGAGACTGGCAAGGATGTGTCTGAAAACAAATTCCAAACAAGCATTCTGTGACATGAGGGGCAGGAGGAGGGTGCAATGACTTGAAATGGGTTGTCAATCAGGGGTTTCAAAACAAGCCAGTGACCGCCGGAGTTAAACCGGCTACTTGATAGCATGTCGCCGGCTACTCTGGTCATAACTATCAGCTCTAGACAAACAATCTCGATTGTAACAGCTGCCTACTTTTCCAGAGTCAGGCACCTACTTCAAAATATGTTGAAACCACTGGTTGTCAATTAAGTACTAACTGTTATGTAGTCAATAGTCATGAAAAACCAGTATTAATTTAAAAAATGTTTGTTGGACACTAACTGTTTTTGTAACATAATTTTTTGTATTTGACAACAAAAATTTAGTACTACCTGCAAAAGGAGCCGAGCCAAGAGAAACCAATCATCTTTGGATGCCAGTGGTTCAAGGTGGCATGAAACCCCTCTAAGCAACTTGTTTGGGCATCTGGAGACAACTGCTCTATATCCTTCAGCAATGCTTTGCCTGTGAGAAGGCTTTTAAGTTTGTCATAGGCAGCAGTACCTACAATAAAAAGTAAAAGGGTGTACATGAACTTTTGGTACACTAAAATTAAAGACAATTCCAACAGCTGTGACCTTTAATTATAAATACATTAAAAATTATATCCTCACCAATTTTGATCCACTTTCTAGATGGAAGGTTTCCATGATTGCAGACCTTGTAGAGTGGGTCAGGGTGATCAGTATGTTTATTTGCAACATGTCGCAGGAATGAATTCCACTTAGCCAGGATGAGGCTGCCAAAACCAGGTTTGGTAGATGTAGCACTCCAATAAAGGTGTCGGCGAATTCCCTTCATCCAATCCTGGATGATTTCACATCCCTTCTCTTTACTTGCAGCAAGCAGCGTTTTGGTAACTGAGCGGGCCACATGCCAAATGTCAAAGAAGTGAGTAGTGCCAGGGCAGTTTTCTCTAATCCATTTGGCTATACCTCTATGACGGTCAGAGATAAACACCCCAATTTTAACGCCAAGCCGCTGCAGAAAGCCAAAGCACCGTTTTACTCCTTCAAGCTCTGTTTGGTAGCTGCCACCAGTCTCATTTGCCTGTAAGAAATTTTTTGAGAAAGAGATCTAATAAATCTTCAATAATTGGCGGGTCCAAGACATCGTGTTCTTAATAGATGCTTGAAACTATATTTTTACAACAGTAAGGTAAAAAAAAAAAATTCAGTTCACATAACAAAGTAAATGGGTAATTTTACTGAAAATTTTCATTGGATGACAAGAAGATGTGTTGTAAGGGTTCTATATCACTAGAACTGAATACAATTTTTCAAGGTTGAGTAACACCTTATTTTGTTTCTCTGCACTCTCTCTTGGTTTTAATAAATGGTGGCTTTCATGTCATGTCTTTTATATGGAAGGGCTGCACTTATAAAACCTTCATACCTGAACAAGCTCAAAGTGTACAATTTTCATGATGGTTGTACATAGCAATGTGTATTCACCATACTTCGCTGAGTGCCCCATGGAGTCATACCGGCCATCCCCAGCCCAAACTACATCCTTCAGGTCCTTGACCTTATTGAGGTCAGTCTGGTAGGACTCCCAATGGTGAATAACAGCTGGAAATAGGAACGATCTTTGGTGCTTAAAAAATGTTCTTGCAGAGTAACAAACCAGTCCCATGTGACGAAACACAAGGAGAATCTTGCTGATAGAGGCACCAGCCATCAAAACAGCAAGACTCAATAGGACATTACCAGCTGGATATTTTCCATGAGGCATCATCCTTTGAGAGGTCCACACATATCCCTTAATGCTTTTGGCACACTTCTGCCTAACAGTCACCATTGTGCCATTTTGAACCATAGACACTTGAGGATTATTTTCTTTGCAGTTGAAGCAAAATAACAAAAAAATTTTCAAAAGCATTTCATAAAAAACAATAAATTTTGGCTGGTTGTAATGGTAGTCAGAAGAGTCTGCATCTGCCCTGAAAAGAAAAGAATAATATATATATATAATTATTATACAGTATTGAAACAAAGAAAAGAGACCTTTTCAATAATTCATGGCTCACAAGTTTGAAAGTTTCAATAGGTAATCGATCCAAAGCATGACACGTTAATTTTACATCTTGAACGATGAAAACATAACTTAATACTTGAAGAACTTAAGCCAAGAGAAATACTACAACAAACACAAAAAGAAACACCCTGATTTTCAGATGAAAGCAGGAAGGAACTTAACACAAGAAGGTAACCCCAAGAGTGGCTTTTCCAACGACACCTAAACAATGGGCTACAGACATTAATTCTTACTTTATATCATTTGCATTTGATTCTGGTATTTCTTCCTCATCTTCTGTGGTTTGCTCTTCCTCTGAACTCGCTCCTGTTGGGCCCCACTCTTGGTCATTACCTTCCACAGCACCATCCTCCTCTTCCTCTCCAGTGCTTGACCATGAAAAATAATTTTGGCCATGTGAAGTACGCTCACTACTTAGCTGTGCAGATTCTCCTTCTTCTTCCTCTGTTTCGTTTTCAGCCACACACTAAATCAAAACCAAGAAAAGGTTATATTATTCTTTTAGAGCATTACTTCAAGTTATTGAAAAAAATAAAATATGGTAGTAAACTGAGTAAAACTTACACTCTGAAGTTCAGCAATGGTGGCCCTCAAAGAACAGACCTCCTTTTTTAGACCTTTCACTTTGCCCTTCAGCCGTTTCTTCGCGGGCATTGCTTTTTGGTACTCTGCTTTGTGCTTGCATCCTTTACAGCTTGTTGTACCAGTATGCATGGAGGATGAGGTCGTACCATATGCTGCTGAGTTGTCTGAAGGAGGCTCCTCAGGCTCCTGAATTGTAGGCACCGTAACAGAGGCTGAGGTTGATGGGATGTTTATAACGTCCTCACCAGAAGTTGATGGCCCAGGCAAAGTAGTAGGCATTTGCATGTCTTTGGAAACAGCTTCTGATTCTGCACCTTGGTCTAAAGATGTTGTACCATCAGAAGCTGGTTCCAAAGTGGCAGGAGCAGTGGATGAGGAAGGCTTTTTCTTTTTCTTTTTGGGAGGCACATTCACTTTAGCCATAACTTCACGTGTTAACTAAAACAAGAAACAAAGAACAGGTAAAACTTATTGATGTTATTACAATGCCACTTCCGAAAAACATTATAATATATAAGCTAACTATTAATAAAATCTGATATGTCTGTAAAGAAAACAGCAATTCTTTTTCTAGGATAAAAAAGGAAACCCTTTTGACTGTTTAACTGGACTAATATAGTTTACCTATTGGCGTCGAATTATTGTCAACGACGACCAAAACTAAGGGTTTTTATTCTTCTCACTTTGTCGGAAGAAACCTAAAAAAATGCGGCCGTCTTGTTTACTGACGTCACATCACACATCAAGGTCATTTTTAGACTCTCTTGAAAGTCACGAAGTGGTGAAAACTAAGCAAATCGTACATATCTTTAAATAGTTATGAAGACAAGTAAACGGTAGCTGGTATTCCTGACATAGAAAAAATATGTGGGACTACTACTGTAGCACAGATCGCTGGAAATAAGCGTGTAAACATATGAAATTCTTACCTTCCTCTTTTCTCGCTGACTGATCTTTTCAGGTGACTGAGGGGTAACAGAATCCCTCGTTGGCACGGCAGTCGCTTTTAAAAAGACTCTCATTTCAAGTTTATACTCTTTCTTCACAGACCTGACAACTGACATCTTCCTTTCATAGCAAGATTCGTCAAAATGTGCAGAACATAACGAAGCATACTTCGAGGTCGGGTCTTTATAATCATGCCTATGGCGACGCACAAATTGCACCCATTGAGCTCTTACAGACGGATCAGATGGAAACTCGTGCATACGTATTCCAGGCGTAAATGTCGTATTTTTACAACTTCGCTGGTTTGGGGTTCCAGCGGCGCAATATCGCCCTCCTCTTCGCGTCGCTTTCGGTGTTTTCGAACTCTCCGCCATAGTTGCTTTGTTTGAAGGATTCAAGATGCAACCAAAATTACGTAATTTACGTCATCAGCATAAAGTCACGTGGTAATTTGACCGCGCGATTTGAAGACCTTTTTTTGGTACGAAATAGGCCAACTTCGATCGCTTATAAAATCGTCAGTTTTTACTCAAAACATCTCAAACTTTGGAATCGAGAATTTTAAATGATAAAGATTTTAACTGACTAAAAATAATTTTCGGTTCATATGCACTTTAAGGCTGGGGTCAACTGGTCAGCTAGCATTGGTGTCAGGATCCTGATGTCCTCACTCTTGCGTACTCTGGAGAGAGCGACATATCCCATACCGCTGGGGACAGTAGGGCAGTCGAACTAGACGATCAGCTTTTTGATGTTAGCGCCTTACGTTTTGCAGATCGTCATGCAATAGGCTGGGTTTAGCGCATAGTGCACTCTACTGCGCCCGTCTTCAGTGGTGGTCGTGACAGGGTAGGTGAACGTCGTCTTCCCATTTGGAAACTTCAAGAGGAGGGTGTTGTTCTGATTGTTTTGGATTGTGGCGAGCTGGCTGTTGACCACACCAGTACGTTTGTTTAGATTTTGAGTTACAACGACGCGCATGTCGCGAAAAGGCAGGAAGTCGTGGACGTCATTCTCGAGGGGTATCGTCGACACCCGTGTTTTCTCCTGGAACATGCGGGCAATCACGATGTTGTTGACACAATTTGCTGCATCAGGGGAGACTGTTAGAAAGGTGGCGTCTGGGGCGTCTTTAACAGTGTGCCATATGTCTAAGTCCGTTATGTCGGATTGATTGAATAGAAGCAAGGGGGGCTGGAAGTTGTCCACCACGTACTGTTGGGGGCGGCTATATCGGATGTATTGCAAGAAGTCCATATACGGCTTGTCGGTGCAGCGGAACTGCTGATACAGGGAGTGGATCTGGCAGACTTCGCGCAAGCAGTGGTTCTTCAAGATTGATGTGGTCTGGGTCGTACAGCCGTTGATCGTCTGTAAGGGCGGTTGTTGACTTTCGTCGCCGGCGATGATGAGGAGGGGGCGATAGACCTGTTTCTCGAGTGTATCGTGGACCATCTCGAAGGTGTCGTCAGCGACCATCGAAGCCTCGTCAATGATGATGGCATCGTACTTCCCGATGTTATAGTTGACCACGTATTATTGGTCCGCCGCAACCGGGATGTTGAAAAGCACGTGGATGGTGTCAGCCTGCAGATCCGGGTAGAATTCCTCCCTGTAGTTGGTAGCAAGAAGACCCAGGGGAGCGCACACAGTAACGGAGTATTCTTCTTCAATTAAGGTGTGGACCAGGCGCTTCACCACTTGAGTCTTCCCAGTTCCGGGACAGCCTAACAGCAGTTGGTATTTGAGGTGATCAGTTGAGTTTTCCTCTGCTAGTTGGTTCGTAGACGAACTGTCTCGAGGTGACCATGTGCCGTAGATCTGACATCGGTGTGTCTGCACAAGAGAAAGGTATCTGGAGTAGATGGCTCGCTGCTGTGGGGAGAGAGGATATTTCATCTCAAACTGGGAACGTTCAGATGTTGCAAACTTGTTGTCGATAACTCCCAGTTGCCACAGCGTGTACAGATCTTCGAGGGATTGCATGTATAGCACGATTGTGTCCAGATAGCTCCTCTTGTGGGATTCGCTTGAGAGGTACTCGAGGATGGTGTCTCTGGAGCCTAAGATGTTGGGGAGCTTTTCCTTTGCTGGCACGAAATGCTTGATAGGTTTGGGCAAGCGGTCTTCGCGGAGATCATGAAGTTCGTCTAGGGTCCGATGAGGGAGATTCATAATGAGAAGCTGATAGAAGTACACCGGATTGAACGTGGAGAAGTGCTTTACCCCCACCAGAGTACTGCCGTTCTTGTAGCGTTTGGGCGGATTCTTCTCATGATCATACTGCTGCAACCAGTCTAGGAACCACCCCAGACCTTATCTAAAACGAATCGTTGAACTTCGTGACCTATTTTTAGAAGGTTTTCTTTTCAGTATCGTCTTCAGAGCGTGCCAGGTATTTTTGATGCACCTTGTGCTGCGTTTGGGCTGGTGTTGGAGCGGTGAACGGCTTGGTTCGTGAGTTACCCTATGCGATCTTCATTGATGTTAACTGAAGCACCATCTCCGGTCCCAAGGGATGCATGTTTTTGAGAAATGATGTTGCCGCTTGGTACGCCCCAAGGTCGACGGAGTAAAGTTGTTGGGTTTTAACTGCATCATGACACTTGGCGACGTACGAGGTGACATATTTTAACAGCATCTCCTTGCCATCGGAAGATTGCACATCCATGGAGCACTGAAGAGAGCCGGTGACCGCAGGTACGAAAGCTCGTAGGTTACAGCCCTTATCGGTGCGCGTGTGGTGGAAGGCAAAATACGTCTCGTTGTTCTCTGTGAGCACACGGTTTGACGCTTGCCTGAGCGGAAAACAACTTTTGCGGGATTTCTGCAGATCGTAGACTAAGAAGGCCTCCTCGACATTGCCCCAGGGTATCGTTGCAGACAATTTGGTGACATCCACGTCGTTCATATGCTCCAGCCGGATGAGTATGTGTGCGTGAAGTGTACCCCTCTTCTGGAACTCAAAGCGATAAAAATAGTTGGTAACATTGTTCGCAGAGGGGTCACTCTTCTTAGCAAAGAGGTGGTCCTTCCATCGGTTCGTATTGATGTACTGCTTGAGGACATGGGCGATGTGGATGGTTTCGGGTATGGCTAATTCTGTTGGCGCTTTGCCCGTCTGGTTATGTAGATGCTCTAACCAGGGAGGAAAGGGGAACGTCCATTCGAAGGGAGAGATCGTGATAAACATGGACGGGAAACCAAATTGCCGCACGGCATCTATCAGATAGCGATGCTGATTTGTCCAGTACTGGTGGCTAAACATCTTGGCCTCTAACGCTGTCGCAGGTAAGCATTGAGCTTGCTTAGCCGAGTTAATAGCTCCCGTGATCGTCTTAAACAACCAACGGTCGTAGCGATAATGGAGCAGATCGTAATGCAGCGCATAATCCGACACGGCAGACGTGATTTTGGTCATAAAAGATACCTTCCCGCTCTTCCTAGTTTCCTGGCCTTCCAGAAAAGACTCACACAGGCTGTTTTGGTGGTAGAGGTTTGGCCATAGTGTTGCTTCCACGCCATGGAAGGATTGATGAGAAAAGAGCTCAAAGATCCACGGCTTGCGGATGTGACTGCGATGCATGAGGATGAATTTCTTGTAGGAACAGTTTGGCCTGTTCCTTAAGTAGTCGAAGGCAGCTCTGGTTCTTTGCCTCGAGACTGGATCTGCGATGTTGCGATTTTTACCTGGACGTCGTCCTGGGCCCATTTGATCTTAAATGGCTCTTCGCGCATTCTATAGCCAAACATCATGCGAGTGTATTGGCCAGAGAATGCGCGAAAAGGAGGCAGGGCATAGATCTCATCCATGGTCAGATTTTGCAGGACTGCTGGAACTCTCCTCGGGTGAGGCACCTGATATCGGCCAGCGCTGCACGTATATGACTTGGAACTCGTTGGTTTGGTTTGCTTACGGTACGCAGGGAGAAGCTTTTTGGATTGGAGGGATGCACAGCGGGTGCAATATGCCCAGCTGCGGTGTTCAGCCCAGAATCTGAGGTCATTGGCTGTTTCTGTAAACACTCGTTTGCTCGTGGTCGAGCAGGTGGGGACTCTGAAAGCCCCGGGCATTGCTCGCTCACGCAGACGTTCCGAGCGGTGACCAGCTCTGGTTTCGTTGAGTTGACGTATATTGGTCGAACGTAGAATAACACGTGAGGGACGTTGTTCCCAGTATCTCTCGCTGGACGCCTTGGTCCATTTGGGCCGAGGCATTTCTGAGAAGCGAATCAAAGGTACCCGGTGTACAACGTTTGCAAGATCAACAAAGATACACATACGCCAGCCAATAACACCAACATTGAACATCAAGTGTGTTTTATGTAGGCAACATGACAGAGTATTACCACTGAGACAAAATGGCAGGGAAATATTCGCTAAGAGTGACTTCAGTCACTGAAACAAAACGAACATGCCTTTGTGACTGCCATGTTATCTCAGACTGCATACTGGTAGTGCTTTAAGAGCCTCCTAGGTACGTTCTGCAGCAGCAAAGATACACAAGTCCTATATAGAGTTACGACAGTAGTGTTGGTCAATGAAGGAGTTAATCGAGTTGCGAGGAACAAACTGCTTGCACAACCAAGACGTTGTCAATGAACTCTGTAAAAACACGCGTACTAGTCATTGCTTTAGCAGCCTCCTAAGGACGTTCGGCGTTGTTCTAGATTAGAAGAGTGTCTCAACGAAGTATTCATGAGGTGGTAACAATCGTCTACTCTCGTGTGGTACATAGACTGATCACTCAGTGAAGGCAGCGTACTCCTCCCTGCACTAGTTGCCACCCTAGGGAGTTTCTGCCGGCATCATCCTAGTTTGACAGTGGTGTCTACTAGTCCGTGCTCGAGCAGCTTAACTAATGACTTTCGACACTTCAACACAGCAGTGGACGTTATACTTACTGTAGAAGTGACGTCTTTGTTAGCAAAGACCAGACGTAATATGTTACAAGTCTCAACAACAGCAAAGTGATCTAAGGAACAAAGGAATCTTCGTTCTAGTGTTATCACGACAAACAGTGGCAGAAACATGGGTTATTTGCATAATCGTATTTTGTGAAACGAAAACAGCTAAGCATACTTACAGTATCAACAGGTTTCTTGACTGTTACAAGAAACGGTGGGTAAGGATCGACGCAAACAATAGCAATATAACCTGGAAAGGCAGTGGAAATATTGTGATTTGTATAATGCTATATGGAAGGACATCGACTCAGATCATTACATACGAGTTTGAACAGAAAGGTAGAAATCATATGGTACTTACAGATATCAGCAAGTTTCTTTGCACTGCGGAACAACTGCAGAACAGTGAATATCAATTAACCAAACGAATGAGCTGCAAACAAAAAAGAGTGTCCATCAGATTATTG